CCGACTCCCTTGACGCTTTCGAGGAGCGGTGGGTGCTGTCTGGGGTTCTCTGCTCAGTGACCCCGTCCGGTTCCCTCCATCTGACCCTTTGATTGAGGGGAAGAGCGAGAGACGCCAGCCCCAGCCGTTGCCGCTGTGGATACCATCATTAGTGTCATCTAGGAGGGGTCCTATAATACATGGGTGTCTACCCCCCCCCACCCCTAAACCGCCCACCCCGCAGCCGTGCCCATCTTACCGGGCAATCTCAGGAGAGGGAGGATCGGTGACACTGGGCCCGGCACTAGGTAACTCGAGGGGGTGGAAGACCACGAGTGTCGAGGAAGCCCCCCCGCTCTAGGCCACAAGGTAACTCAGGAGGGTGGAAGACCACGAGTGTCGAGGAAGCCCCCCCGCTCTGGGCCCAGGCTAGCCTGAACACTTCTCCCTCCTGAAAGCTGCTGTGTTATACCTTCTGTTTGCGTTGTTTTGTTGCATATCTGTTTTGTTTTCCTTGGTAATTCTTGTAAGTGTTACCAATAAACTCTTTTTCTGTTTCAAAAAACAAACAAACAAACCTTCCCTGTTACCTTACCCAGGGAAAAGGGACCTACTTAGCCTGGGGCTAATATATTTGCCTTCTATTACTCCCCTTTTGCCTTCTGGCCCGACCCTGTCACACACGATAGTGCTTATCACCATGGAATCAGAGTGCTTCACAAATATAAATTAATTTATTTTCAAAATACTCCTGTGAGGTAAGTTATCATCCCCATTTTACAGATGGGGACCAGAGCAAAGAGAGATTCACATCAGAAGTGTCCACTAATTTTGGGTGACCAACTTGAGTGCCCAGCAACTGGAATTCATCTACCAATAAGCCCTAGGGACTGATTTTTTTCAGAGTACTTAGCATTTTATAGCCGTTTATTTGTTTAGAGCAGAGATGGGAAAACTACGGCCCGTGGGCCACATTCAGCCTGTGGGACCCTCCTGCCCGGCCCTGAGCTCCTGGCCCGGGAGGCTAGCCCCCGGATCCTCCCCTGTTGTTCCCCCGCTGCCTCAGCTCACTGCGCCACCAGCACAATGCTCTGAAGAGCGGGGCTGCTTACTCTTGCCGAGCAGCACAGCTGCAGAGCCGCGGTCTGTGCTGTGTGGTGGCATGGCTGGCTTCAGCCACACAGCATGGCTGCCTGTCCTGGTGTTCCAGGCGGTGCGGCTGTAGCGGCGCCAGTTGCCGGTGCTCCAGGCAGTGTGGTAAGGGGGCATGGAGCAGGGGGGTTGGAGAGAGGGCAGGGGAATTCGGGGTGGTGGTCGGGGGTGGGGGTATGGATAGGGGTCGGGGCGGTCCGAGGGCGGGGAACAGGGTGGTTGAATGGGGGAAGGGGTTCCAGGGGGGCAGTCAGGAAGGAGGGGGGGGTTGGATGGGGCGGCAGAGGGCAGTCAGGGGACAGGGAGGGATGGATGGGGCAGGATTCCCAGGGGGGCCATCAAGGGACAGGGAATGGGGGGGTTGGATGGGGCAGGGGTCCCGGAGGAACCGTCAGGGGGCGAGAAGCGGGGGGGTCAGATAAGGGGCAGGGACCGGGCCACGCCTGGCTGTTTGGGGAGGCACAGCCTCCTCTAACTGGCCCTCCATACAATTTTGGAAAAACCAATGTGGCCCTCAGGCCAAAAAGTTTGCCCATCCCTGGTTTAGAGTATGGCTCGCATTGACTTCAGTTGTAGGCCTTAGAAGTCTAAAGTTGATCACTGAGGAAAATTAGGAACACACAAGTGACTTGCCCAGCGTCACACAGGAACTCTGTGGCAGAGGCAGGAATAGAATCCATTTAACCAGTATGGCAATTATGTGTCTTAACCATGACACCATCTTTTTATTACATACCTTCCAACTTCTACAACAAATGAGGCAGAGGCCCTACAGACAACAATTTCCTTCACTGCATAGTCCTGTTCCAGCCCCAAAGCACCATCCTTCCTTCTTACTGAATGAGGCAGGGGTCCTGTGAATAGAATAGTATGTGATCATGTAATAAAAGTCTGTATCATAATGCATATGTACCAGTGGCATGAATTAAGGTTGTACAAACTGCTGCTGTCTGAGGAACTAAGGTCTGAGCCTAGCCACAGGCAGCTTTTTGTGCTACCGATCAAATGTGTTGATGTTCCTGTAATTTGCCAGCTTTTTGGGGCAGTGTTTGATATAGTTAGGAGGAGCTTCTGTTTTGCTAAGAGTTGTGGCTAAATTTAAGTGTACAAAGGGGTTTGTTCAAATTAGGGATATATATGTGTGTGTGGGTGCTGTAGATGATGAACTGCACAAAGTTTACAAAAAATGTAACACACCAGTCAAAATATCTCAGGTGTGATTTTTGAGATTTCTTCAGTGGAACACTTTTTACAGATCAGGATAAATTCAGAAAATCACTGACATGTAAATGATTAATTCCAAGTTATTTTCTGAAAGAAAACCAGTGCTTTCTCAGCTACAGAGAAGGAGTAAGGTTCTGTCAAAGACAAAAGAGTGACATAACCTTGACTATGGTGTCACTATTGTTCCTCTATAATTATTTGTCTGATAAATAACTTCATCCATTATACTTCATGGGTAAAACCTGCTCAGTAAAAATGCAGATAAGGAGGTGGGATAATCCATCCAAAATCAGTTGATGTTTCTGTATGCTTTGCCTTTTTTCATTTTGTATATAATCTGCTGCATTTTTTTAGCCACTGTAAAAATATTTTTCCTTTCTTTCCTTTATCTGTCACTCTTAAAATTACCTGTACATAATCTGCCACATCCTTTTGGATTGTTGGCTTTTGTATGGAAAGAATGTTGTTGGACTAACTAAGCAGGAAAAGGTTAAATTCATATGATGATGAGTATTTTCATGATTAAATACTACATAATTTTAAGTACACTCTATGTAATTAAAAATACTGAAAAGGTGTGTGAATACAGGGCTGGCCTTAGGTTTTTTGCTACCCTAGATGAACATCATTGCATGGAGTCCTATTCCCTATTCTTCCATACATTTACATCCCACATTTAATAGAATTATTTAATTTAATATTTTAGCATGCATTTTTTACATTACTATGTCTGGGTTTATGTTTCTCTTTCCTTTCCCTCACTCCCTTTTTCTTTATGTTGACTCTGTGTTGGTGCATTTTTTCTCCCACTCTGTTTATCTGTCCAATTTATTTTTCTAGTAAGAATAATAATTCTCTCGCTCTCTCTCCCCCTCCCTTCTTTCTTCAACATCTCCAATGCTTTTCTACCTCCTTTTGTAATCTCCCCTCACCTCCATGTCCATCATGGCTAAACCAGGCTTCCTCCTCATCTCAAGGGTAGAGAGGAAGGTTTGGCAGCTAAGAAAGCTGAGGTGAAACTTGTGATGGAGGCAGCTGGTTGGCAGATAGGGAATGATCAACTTTTCTTGGTTAGTCACATGAAAGGTCAACCATATCCTTCTCTCACTCTTCAGAGATGGATCTCTAGAAATCAGAGATTCCAAAAGTGTGTGCGCCTTTGTAGCTACATGCTTTGCCCACGTTTAGGATTGGACCTGCCTGCTTCCTTCCCCAACCCCTCAGGATGACATTTAGTGGCATTATCTAGGCAGACCAGGTGAATATTTAAATATCAGGTTCTTATATAATGTCCTTGAGTATTAAAAAAAAAACAAAAAACAAACAAACAAACAAAAAAAACCCACAAAACAAAAAAACCAAGAACCCAAAAGAGAAATACAAAAACTATAAGATTACTTAAAGGAACCCTATCAATCTAAAATTGGTTTGTCTTAGATTTTTTTTATCTGCTATTCTTACAAGTAACACCCGTGGTAGGGGTTTTCAACCTGGGGTTTGTGTAAAGGTGTCAAGAGTTCTTTGGCCACTGTGCCCTTCCTAGCTAGATGGGAAGTGAATCCCAGGATTGTCTTGCTATTGAAAAATAGGGTAATGGCAAGGAAAAAGCTGAAGAGTAACAGAAATAAAATATTTGTACTGGAAAAAGTCAGAGGGGAAAACATATATTTTAGTTATTGGGGTTTCTTGTGGGTGTGTATCTGAAAGCTCTGTCTGTATAGTTAGTTTTACTGTTTCCCCCTGTGTAGTCAGTAACACCCCAATCCTGCAATGAGCTTCACTTTGGCAACCCCCTGAGCCCACATGGAGCCCCACTGACTTAATAGGAGCCCCACACAAGCTTAAGGACATATCTGTGTGGAGCTCATTGCTGGATCAGGCCTGTAGTAAGTTTGCTGTGTTGTCTGTGTGGATTTTTCATTCATCCATAAAGGGAGAGAAACCTTTACAAAAGTATTTTGCAAAACCACAAAAATTGACAGAGGGGTTCAAAGGTGGGTGTATTATCTGAAAATACTTTCAGCTACGTTTTTGAAGTGGACTAGATCTCAGGTTGACTCGGTCCCTTTAATAAAAGTAGTTTATTAATAGATTTTTTTTCCATAGTTTTATAACTGTCATCTTAAGAGTTGTCAGTTCTTACATTTTATTAAGTCTGTCTTTTGGAAAGTGATTTTCATTGCCAAAATTTGGCACACTGCTCATGGTAAAAAGGACAGGCATTGGCACCTCTAACATTAATATTAATATCCGTTTGAGACGTGTTTTGGTTCTGCATTTCATTTCTCCAGATCTTTCAAAATGTATTACATTGACATATCATATTATTATGGAGTAGTTCTGTTCGTTGAGGTAGTTTTGAATTTTACTATGTGGTGAATATATATGTAAGGTGTTTGTTGAAAAAGAACGTTGAAAGTACAGATTTAAAGCTGTCCAAATACAAAAACATATTTTAAGCATGAATGATCTGTTTCTGTTCCATCTGGTACTTGCTAGGTTTAAACAAAACAATGATTAGATGACTAATTTAATTTTTATATTTCACCAAATAGTGTAAACTGATAATGTACTGAGCTATTTTTATTATTTTAACATTGCATATGATTTATACTTAAAATTATGTTCTGTGTTTTTATTTCAAGCTTGACACCTTTAGAAATAATCTTGATCTAGCTAAAGAAAGTGGAAATGATGAGGTAATTATAAACAACACTTATAATCCTGAGGAAAAGAGCCCCCGGTTTACAAAAAACAAACTAAGAGACAAAGCCTCAGTTGCAGAAAAAATAAACAATGATGTTGTTAGTGGAGAAGAAAACAAGCAACCAAAGTCTAACAAGAAGAAAAAGAAAGCAGTGTTACAAGAACAATTTAATGAGGAGGAAAATGTATATGAAACTAAATTGGAGAGTTTTGAAAAACAGATTACTGATTTTCCAGAGAAAAAAACAAAAAGTAAATCACAAACAGATGCATCTCGTCAAAAAGGTAACAACAAGATAAAAAGTACCTTGAATGAAGTGAGAGACGTAACTGAATTAGAAGAGGAAGAACAGCTAATTCAAGCCTATCAGCTGCAAGTGGCTGAGGATGAGGCAAATGCAATTAAGGAGAAAATAAGAAAAAAACTTACAGAACAGATGTCTGAATTCACCTCCAGTGTTCAAAGCCAAAAAGTTGTATTGAACAATGAAGTGGGCAAAAAGAAGAAAAAGAAGAAAGAAGTGCCAGTTGCATCTGAAGCTGAAACAAGGTATAGTGGTAAATTGTAATCTGTGCATGTATACATCTTAAACAAACTGTTTGATTTTTAAGATGGGGAAAGAATCCTGTGATAGAGCTGCAAGGTTTTTTTGTTTTGTTTTTGTTTTTAAGTGTGAACGAGCCAGATGATTTTATGTTGGGGGGAGGGAACCTCTTCCCCTATATACACAAATAACTCTTCTACCACATTATATCTAAAAATGTTGCCAAGATCCTTACTAATTTGTAAGAAGTTACAAAATTGAATGCATTTTTTTTAATGTTGCAATACTACATGTAATCTGCCAATTCTTCACTGAGGACCCAACTCCCTGACTGTGTGGCCTTTGGGTCAAGCCTGATTAAAATTCGGCATTTATGAAATATTGTCTCAAGTCAAAACTACTTATCCACTCAGCTAACAGAATGCATCATTCTTTAGTATATTTTATTTCATGTGAACTGTGGCTCTGATCCTGCAAAGATCTTGTTTAAATTTATGCACATGAGTAGTCACAGGACTACTCATGTGCAAATCCCCACATGAAAATATTTTAGAAGGTAAGACTTAGGATAATAAAATGGAGAGAGAAATTAAGGATAGACCATTCAAGAATGTGTGCCACCGTTATCACTGTAATAGCTAAACAAGACAAAATTATATTTTTGATAGGATTTTGAAGAATGAGAGCTAATGAATTTGAGAAACAGGAAGAGTCTTTTTAATGGATTAACAGAAATAGTACGTATTTGCTGACAGTGATGTGTGTTGCGTTACAGTGCAATGTCCCTCGCTGAACTACAGCATAACCCAGTGGAAGATGATACCACAAAAAAGAAGTCATCAGGAAGACTGCTTGTATCATACTTTAAAGATGAAATGAACACAGAGGAACACGAGGAGGAAGATGTGGAAAAACTGAAACCTAAAATAAAGAAAGCAAAAAAGAAATCTAAAAAAGGTTTTTGTAATCAAAATATTATAGTCAAAGTTTTTCATATTGGAAGACTTTGCTGCTGCTAAGTTCCTTTGCTGTTGCTTGTTCCTATCAATGAGACAAAGGTGGCTTAGACTATTAAGCAGTGGGATGCAGAGGGGTTGAGTTCCAGAGGTTTGGGCTGCACTGACAGAGCTGAGGCCGTTGTGGGGGTTGGCTTTATCTGAGCCCCCAGCCTCTCTTGCCTCCCCTACCATCCATCACCATGACCCCTTTTCCCTCACTACAGCCCTAAACCCAATCTCCATATCTCTCCCCCAGTCTCCCACTCCTCCATCCCCTAATGCCCCTCCCATTCCCTTCCAGGAAGCATTCACATGTCATCTCTCTCCCCGCCCTGTAGACTTTAATTACGTTCCCTCAAAATAATTTTGGCACCCATGACTCTCACAAATTGTAGCAACCTCCAGCCCCTCAGTCTAAAACTCCTTTTGTCTTAGGTAGGGGCTTGTGATTAATATATCCTCAGTTATGTTAAACTGAAGTGTGAGTTCACAGCCATGGGTCTCAATGAGGTCTGTGGTTCATCCAGTCATAATTGTCTCTCAGTTTAACAGTACAAGGCAGCAAAAGGAAACCAGTTTCTTGGGAGGGCCTGTAACTCAGAAGCCACCCCCTTCAAATGACCCCAAATGTGGTCTCTACCATTACCCTGCACCTTGTAAGGCATAATCAATTTAAAAATAGTCTGATTAGCTATTCAGATGTTAGACCATTTACAAGAATTGAGCTTCAAAGCGTGTAAAATGGTGGGACTGGAAAACCTCTAGCTGTTTTTCTATATTGGTGCATGCGCAGTGTAAAAAATGTACATTTTTCTTAAATGCTGTTCTCAGTTTGGGTCCCCCAAAGATTTAGTGGGTGCTGTGCACTGCTTTAGGTAAAACTGAACAGATTGAGACCATTTTGCTCTGCATGACATCAATTGTTTAATCTCTAGCTCTGGGAAAAAGAAATACCCACCTAGAAATTTTTTTTAAAACGGCTATTTTTCCCAGAGCATACATCTCCAGAATCCCTGTCTCAAATGATCCCAAATTTGGGTCACTAACTCTACCACGCACCCACATGAGGCACACCAAATTTCAAAGAAATCCGACTAAGCATGTTCAATCTAGAGCAGGGGTTCTCAAACTTCATTGCATATGACTCCCTTCTGATGACAAAAATTAACTACATGCCTCCAGGAGGGGGAACTGAAGCCTGTGCGCTCCCCTCCCACCCCCGCCAAGCCCTGCTGCCCTTGGGCAGGAGCGGCCAAAGCCCAACCCCCACCACCCTGGGAAGGGGGAGCCAAAGCTGAAGCCCAAGGGCTTCAGCCTCACGCAGGGGGCCTGTAACCTGAGCCCCTCGGGCTCCAGCTTTGGCTCCGGGCCCAGCAAGTCTAAGCCAGTCCTCGCAACCCCATTAAAACAGGATTGAGACCCACTTTGAGGTCCTGACCCACAGTTTGAGAACCGCTGCTCTACAGGACTTAGAAAGGTCAACCTTTAAACAAATGATACGATGCAGCCTTAACTGTAGTGGTGCTCCTATGCCATTATAATACTATAAAATAGCTAAGGAGGCATATGGCATATTTTCTGTTCCTAGTTTTGGGCTGAATTCATGGAAAATTAGATGGGTGCAAAGCCATAAGTGCCTATTATAGTCTAGGGGATTCAGCTAATTGTGCTAAATGATCTTGTGCTAGTCTTGCAATTTGGATAGTAAGGTATTTTTGATCACATTATATAACCATTCAACAGCATATTGTGTAGCTATTGAAATCATAAAAGACAACAGGCATACATACTGTCGTTTATTAGTGTAGCTGGCTACATGTATATTGAAGTCTCAGGGAAGAGCTGATGCAAATCAAGAGCAAGAGTTGTGGTTCATTAATTTTTATTTGATAATCAGTGGTAGAGAATGCTTGTGTTAATATATATGCATATAGACAAACATATGTATTCTGATACTCTATTGCATAAAGAACAGAACTAAATATAATGAACCGAATGTAAAGTTTGCTATGAAAATGTAATAGATTTTTAATTCTTATAATTTGTCACTAATCTCTGCTTAAAGATCTTTTTGTTTGTTTGTTTGTTTCTTTGCTTTTAGCATTAGAAGAAAACACAGAAATTGCTGCAGAAAATATACAGGAAATGAACAGTCCAGAAGTTTGTACTCAATCCAAACTTGCTTTTGATGACAGCCTTGTGTTAGGGGTTTACATCCATCGAACTGATAGACTTAAAACTGATCTCATGGTTTCACATCCCATGGTCAAGATTCATGTGATTGATCAGAAAACTGGTTTGTATGTCAAGAAAGAGCATAGGTGATTTTACTGATTTTTTTTTCCCCCACCCCCAACCCCACCAAAAAAAACCTTCATGTGCCTGCTTCTGCTGGAAATAATTACTTAAATAAGCATATACATACATGTTTAACTATAAGAATAAATATAGTCTTATTCACTGCAAATCCCCACACAACTTGCATACTTAAAATAAAGTACATGTGTAAGTGTTTGCAGGAATGGCGCCATTGTTTTCTTTCACATTTGGAGCACATGTATTATCAGAGTAGCAGTGTATCTGGTCAGACACACACATTTGCAATGTGACTGATTGACTCCTCTCCCAAAACAAAGAGAGAGATGGCAGAATCTTTAGAAGCCTCATTGAGAATAAGCAAACAAACATATTGAGCCCTGAATAAGAGATTTCTTTTTGCTTATTGGCAAAACATCTATAAGAATATTGAAGTGAAGGTGAGTTCTCCATTCTTCTTACCGGTTTCAGAGTAGCAGTCGTGTTAGTCTATATTTGCAAAAAGAAAAGGAGTACTTGTGGCACCTTAGAGACTAACCAATTTATTTGAGCATAAGCTTTCGTGAGCTACAGCTCTGTTTCACTTACCTATTCCCATGAGGGGCCTGATTCAAAGCCCACTGAAGTCAGTGGGATTTGTATTGGCTTCAATGGGCTATGGATCAGGCCCAATCAAAATGCTTGATTATTGGGATTTGGAACTCCAGCTATGCTTATTGCCCTGGACTTCATCAGTTGCAGTAGGATCTGCAGTGGTTATTGAATATTCTTTCTAAAATAAAGAGAATGGATATCTTGTACATTTTTTTGTTTACAGTTGTTGAAGTAGTCATAGTATTTTGTTCTTTGCTTACTTTTTTGAAAAATATTGACAATTGCAGTTGGTTGTTTTTAAACAGCAGCCGGGCGGTTTCATCTTTTTATGAACAAGAGCGAGTGGAGCACATTCTTCCTATTATGACCCAGCCTTATGATTTCCGACAATTTAAATCAACACTTCCAGAATGGGAGGAACAAATCATATTTAATGAACGTTTTAGTTATTTTCTTCAAGATACTGAAGAAAGCCCCAAAGTAGTCCTGTTTTTTGAGGTACAGATGAAATATTTTACAGTAAATTTTTCAAGTTGCAATTTTCTGACTGTGTATTTCTGGCAGCACTTTATTTATGATTTACAGTTATATTGCTGGAATACCATAGTTTTTTTAAGAGAATATATATTATGGTGAAGATTTTAAAAAACACTCAACATTGGCCAGCTGTTCTCTCATTGAAGCCAATGGGAGTAAAATTAGGCCAATACTAAGGAGTTTTGAAAATCCCTCCCTCAGCAGGATTCTGTTCTGGGTAATAAATAAATACTTTGGCGAATGTGTCTTATTGACACAATCAAAATGCTTCCAGAAAGGACTGAAAGGGGCACGCCAGACTGGGAGCTATGGTACCCTTTGAAAAGGGTGTAGCATACCCTCCTCTCATTGCACTGGCACTTCTTGCTGACAGAAGAATAGGTAGGGTCACTGTCCTTTTTTTGGGTTCCTAACACCAGCAGTTCAGAGGCTGATAGTGGCTGCCCCCTTAGTGCTGTCACCTCCTACTTGTATACATAAGCAAGGCTAGCCAACATGTAGCCCACAGACTTTTTGCATGTTTGCCATAAAAAAAAAAAGTAGACATCTGTTTCTCCTTCATCATTACTCAAACAGCAATAACTACCTCAGCCTCAAATACATTTATGTTTATAGGAAAAATTGTAAAGCATGTTCCGAACATGTTTTTGAGTGTAACTGTAGCCGGTATTTATAGACAGCTATATACAAGAGAGTTTATATAGTGTTAATGTGGAAATGGAAACCTAGTACAATCAATAATTTTTTCATACCCCTGTCATATATTTTTCTAAATACATTGTGCATATGCAATCTGATAACAGTGCCAGATATTCCTTTATGGTCTGCAATTTTCATAAAATAACTACATTCAAAGTACTGAGAGAGGATCCTGGTGGCTTATCACAGAAGTGATTCCAGTAGCGTATAGAGGCTCTTCATGGAAACAGTTTTAAAGTTTGAGACAAAATCTTTGTCAAATGAAAGCCCGCAGTTTCTGTTGTTTTCACTGGCATTACTTAGGCACAAATCTGAAGATCAATTGTAACTCTAATATTATGCATAGAATCATAGAATATCAGGGTTGGGAGGGACCTCAGGAGGTCATCTAGTCCAACCCCCTGCTCAAAAGCAGGACCAATCCCCAGCTAAATCATCCCAGCCAGGGCTTTGTCAAGCCTGGCCTTGAAAACTTGTAAGGAAGGAGATTCCACCACCTCCCTAGGTAACCCATTCCAGTGCTTCATCACCCTCCTGGTGAAAAAGTTTTTCCTAATATCCAACCTAAACCTCCCCCACTGCAACTTGAGACCATTACTCCTCGTTCTATCATCTAGCACCACTGAGAACAGTCTAAATCCATCCTCTTTGGAACCCCCTTTCAGGTAGCTGAAAGCAGTTATCAAATCCCCTCTCATTATTCTCTTCTGCAGACTAAATATCCCAGTTCCCTCAATCTCTCCTCATAAATTATGTGTTCCATCCCTCTAATAATTTTTGTTGCCTTCTGATGGACTCTTTCCAATTTTTCCACATCCTTCTTGTAGCGTGGGGCCCAAAACTGGACACAGTACTCCAGATAAGGCCTCACCAATGCAAAATCGAGGGAATGATCACATCCCTCGATCTGCTGGCAATGCTCCTACTTATACAGCCCAAAATGCTGTTAGCCTTCTTTACATGCATGCCGTGTAAAGTTGCAGAAGTGGTCGGATATGAGGAGATTCTGGTTGCAGACCATGAAAATCAAGAGAATTTGTATACCAAAATGATCTTTTTGACATATAAAGGGTTTGTGAAGAATTGCTTTTGTCTTGTTTTTATAAAAAATATAAAGAGACTGATGTGAAATAAGAAACTTTGTAAAAAAAAAAAAAAGAGATTTACGTTCTTGAAGATCATAACACTGATGTGGTGGTGTGTGTGTTTAAATATCACTTGTGGTAGATATGGACACTGGATAGTTCATAAATTATATTTTTATAATATTAAGTAAAATGAGAATTTTGTTTAAATCCATGAATCCTATCTAAAATACCGTCAGTAGTAATTATTACTTCAGAGAAGTGCATTCTCAATGGTAATGTATGTATATATTCTAATTTAATATCTGCAGATCCTTGATTTCTTAAGCATGGATGAAGCAAGAGCCAACTCTGAAGTGCAAATTCAGGAAAGTGGTTTTCACAAAATCTCTTGGGCATTTCTGAAGGTATTGTGAACTTAAAAATACAAAAAAACAACAACCAAAAGTAGAATAAAAAGCCTGCATAAAGTATTTAAAAGAAATTGGCAAAGCCAGCTTTTCAAAGAAACATATTACTTGTTGGGAAACTTTTTTAAAACAAACGAAGTATTTTAAACCACAGGTATAGAGACAGATTCTGACAGAGAGCGCTCATGCTATTAAAAGATCATGTAGATATACAGAGAAAATAGGTATGGCAATAGAGAAAATGGATATTTCTCAACTAAATGTACAAAATGCATGAAAAAATACATTTTCTTTTTCAAGTGCAGCACTTGGCAGAAAAAACAGAAGCTTCTGAATAAAGGCGAATCAATTGATAAATGTCATGGGTGTCTTCTCTGTACACCTGGGACCAGAAGTACTACCTGAAGAGCAGTTAGTGTCTTCTGTTTAAGTGCTATTCAAAATTCTAGTAGACCTTTTAGTTAAATCCAGATATTGAGGGGGCACTGTGAGTCCCCCCCACTTGAAATAATGAAATTGTCATGACTCGCCTTAATCCTACAAAAGGGGAATCATCCTGACAAACAGTGGTCTATCTCCTGCCCCTAGTAGGCAAAAAACTAACTTATGGAAGGGATAAGTTCCAGAGCTCACTTATTTTCTCTTACCCTGAGTCATGCTATGCTACTCGGGGATGTTTACAGGCGCTACAGTGGTATGCCTGTGGCTTTGCAGCTGCCCCGTTGTAATGCAGTAGCACAGATACTTGCTACAGTGACAGGGGTTTTCTGTCACTATAATAAATCCATTTCCTTGAGAGGCTAGGCAACTAGGTTGATTGAAGAATTCTGACGTAGTGGTGTCTATGTAGAGGCTTAGATTGGCTTAACTTCATCTCTCAGATATGAATTTTTCACTTTGGGGAAGATGGGAGAGTTGCTACTTCTGCTGCACCTTCTGTCCTCCACCAGAAGACTGTAGAAGCGCCTTCATTGGGACATGAAAAAAGTGGGGGCAAGAGCAGGGACCTAGCTGCTCTTTGTGGCAGAAATCCAATGAGTCTCAATGGACAGTGCAACTGTTAATAACATTAAAAATACAATATTTTGTCTTAAACAACCACATTAAAACTAAATCTTTTTTTGACTTTTCCCTTTGGAAAGGAGTTGCAAAGGAAAGTGATGTTGCAAATAGGGATTCTTTCCCAAGTACAATATATTACATAACTACTTCTTGTGAAAAATTATAATAAATTAATGAATGCCTTTTTCTCTTGGGAAAGACAAGGTAGGTGAGATGATCTGTTTTATTGGACCAACTTCTGTTGGTGGAGGGTTTGAGTTTCACAGAGCTCTTCTTCAGGTCTGGGGAAGGTAACCAGAGAGTCTAAGCTAAATATAAGCTGGAACAGATAGTTAAGGGATTCACACATTGTAGGAGACCACTTAAAATGAAGTGGTCAGTTACGGGTTAGCAGGGAGTGAGGTGTGTTACAACTTGGCATAATGAACTATGAAACTTGTTGAGTCCATGGTTTGTGGTGTCTATTAGAGATACGAATTTAATTTCCTAGGCTCACCTTTTGAAGATGCTGTGCAGGTTTCCTTTGAGGACAAGTATTGAAAGATCAGATATGGAGTGATTGCTTTGTGAAAAGTATTCATCCAGAGGTGATAAGGTGTTTTTGTCTTATCATTTTTCTGTATGAGTTTATTTGAGAGCTTAGAGATTGTCTGTCTGGTTTTACCTCCATAGTTGTTGTTAGTGCATTTGATGAGGTACACCACACTTTGAGATAGGCATGTGTAGGACCCATGAATCTTGAAAGTTGTATTGTGGGGAGTATTGATGATTGTAGTGATGGAGACATGTCTGTGGGTTTTGCATCTGTTCTGGCAGGTTCTGGTGCTGCTTTGAGTTCTGTGTTTTGGTCTATGGGGAGCTTGCTTCTGATGATGAGCTTAGCAAGGTTGGGGGATTGTTTGAAGGCCAGAAGAATGGGTCTGGGAAAGATTTCTTTCAGGGTGTGGTCCCCATCAAATGTGTTATGCTTATAAGAAGCACATGGAATCTTTTTCAAGGGGATATCAGAACCCCGCGGAGGTTTCACACGAGGCTGCTCTCATAGACTGGGTAACTTGGGACCAGGAGGGTGGTCATACCCAGATCCCTGATACCTCCCAGAGGGCACTAAGCAGTGCCAACAAGAGGGGGAGAAGGAATACAACTCCATTAAGACAAAGCTCCCCAGCTAGCCTGACGGACCCTAATGCAGCTTGGGGAGAGCCAGGAAAAGTGGGATGAAGCACGGACTGGGAGGCCCTTAAATTACAATTGCAGCAGAAGGAGGTAGCAAGCATAACCCCCAACGCTCCTCCTATCCCTCCTCCTCCAGAAGACAACGAGGGAGGCCTGCTGGATAGGGAACCCCCACATTATGTAGGAGTACAGCAGTGGAGGTTCATAGGTAAAATCACCTAGGATCCCGGGGGGGGGCGACCATGTATTTATGTCCAGCTGGGTAGATGTGCTCCTATGCTAGCTCTAATTGACACAGGAGCTGTTGTATCTTTAATAAAATCCACTCCAAAAGCCTAATGGGGAGAAATTGTCTTCGAGGAAACTTTGCTTATTTTGTTAGCTTTGAATTAGTAAGAAGAAATTGTTTTGGTTTTATTCTTTGCTTTATGTGTTAATGATTGTTTGTTTGTTTTTAGAAGGATAGAAGTGTTATGGCTACAGTTCTTTCTTTTGAAATTATTTACTGTTTTGTGTGTGAGTGAAGAATGTATGGCATGCTAACAGAGAAGACACATGAGGCGCCGGTACTGATGGGCCAGATGGTCAAGAGAGGAGTGGAGAAGTCAAGAGGCACCAACCTTATTATCAGAATCACCCAGATGGCAGGCTGACAACCCTAAAGCAAAGGCATACGCCCCAAGGACAAGATAAAGAGTGGAGCCAAAGGGACGAGATAAGAAACATCTGCGGATACTCCCAGTAACAACCCAAAATAATGCTGATTGGCAGCAATCTTGACTACCTCGTGATTAACAGCTCCGGTGTGACACAGCAAGGTCCATAGACTTTTATGGGAACTTATTACTGTAAAAGAAGGGTGTATTCCTATGGGACTCTGGGTTTGTTCTGCATCAACATCAGAGCTTCAGATGCGTCCGACAGAGACCCAGCTCCAGCTCCTCCCCTCCCTCGTGTGCAGTTTCAGCTGGCCACTGGAACTGACCGAGCAACACTAAGGACTGGTAACTATAAGATCCAGCTGCAGAACCTTTTGGGGTGTCTGTGTGTGTGAATGGAAGCACGTGCTGATTTTAATGTTTAAATTGTACTCTCAATAGACGGGACGTATTGCCTTATACCCTTGAAAAAGATACTGTGTGCTTCTTATATGCATAACATATGGGTTGTAATTATTTGATGATACTTTGTATGGGTTCCAGTGTGGGGTGACAGGTGACAACTAGGGTTGTGCAGTCAGTAGGTTGTCTTTTCTTTTTTTTTCCTGAATGGAATCAGGTTCTCCACAAGTATTCTGGTGGCCCTTTCCATGATGTGATCTACTTCTCTGGTGGAGTGTTCTTGTTTAGTGAAGGCAGTTCTAAGGATCTTTAGGTGTGTATCCTGGACTTTCTCTTTGGAGCAAATTCTGTGGTATCTGAGTGTCTGGATATAAATAACAGATTTCTTAGCGTGCCTGGGGTGTTAAAGGTGATCTGTGAATTTCTTGTATATAGTTGTTTGTAGGGTTCCATTGCTGAAGCTCATCATGGTATCCAGGAAGCAGATGCAGGTATGGAGTACTCTAGAGAGAGTTTGATGGATGGGTGATGGTGGTTGAAGTTGTGGTAGAAATCTATGAAGGAGTTCATAGAATCATAGACTATCAGGGTTGGAAGGGACCTCAGGAGATCATCTAGTCCAACCCACTGCTCAAAGCAGGACCAATCCCCAACTAAATCATCCCAGCCACGGCTTTGTCAAGCCTGACCTTAAAGACTTCAAAGGAAGGAGATTCCACCACCTCCCTAGGTAATGCATTCCAGTGTTTCACCACCCTCCTAGTGAAAAAGTTTTTCCTAATATCCAACCTAAACCTCCCCCACTGCAACTTGAGACCATTACTCCTCGTTCTGTCATCTACTACCACTGAGAACAGTCTAAATCCATCCTCTTTGGAACCCCCTTTCAGGTAGTTAAAAGCAGCTATCAAATCCCCCCTCATTCTTCTCTTCTGCAGACTAAACAATCCCACTTCCCTCAGCCACTCCTCATTAGTCATGTGTTCCAGTCCCCTAATCATTTTTGTTGCCCTCCACTGGATTCTTTCCAATTTTTCCACATCCTTCTTATAGCGTGGGGCCCAAAACTGGACACAGTACTCCAGATGAGGCCTCACCAATGTCGAATAGAGGGGAATGATCACATCCTTCGATCTGTTGGCAATGCTCCTACTTATACATCCCAAAATGCCATTGGCCTTCTTGGCAACAAGGGCACACTGTTGACTCATATCCAGCTTCTCGTCCACTGTAACCCCTAGGTCCTTTTCTGCAGAACTGCTGCCAAGCCATTTGGTCCCCAGTCTGTAGCGGTGCGTGGGATTCTTCCGTCCTAAGTGCAGGACTCTGCACTTGTCCTTGTTGAACCTCATCAGATTTCTTTTGGCCTAATCCTCTAATTTGTCTAGGGCCCTCTGAATGCTATCCCTACCCTCCAGCGTATCTACCTCTCCTCCCAGTTTAGTGTCATCTGCAAACTTGCTGAGGGTGCAATCCACACCATCCTCCAGATCATTAATGAGGATATTGAACAAAACTGGCCCAAGGACTGACCCTTGGGGCATGCCACTTGATACCGGCTGCCAACTAGACATGGAGCCATTGATCACTACCTGTTGAGCCCGACAGTCTAGCCGGCTTTCTATCCACCTTATCGTCCATTCATCCAGCCCATTCTTCTTTAACTTGCTGGCAAGAACACTGTGGGAGACCGTGTCAAAAGCTTTGCTGAAGTCAAGGAACAACATGTCCACTGCTTTCCCCTCATCCACAGAGCCAGTTATCTCATCATAGAAGGCAATTAGATTAGTCAGGCATGACTTGCCCTTGGTGAATCCATGCTGACTGTTCCTGATCACTTTCCTCTCCTCTAAGTGCTTCAGAAATGATTCCTTGAGGACCTGCTCCATGATTTTTCCAGGGACTGAGGTGAGGCTGACTGGCCTGTAGTTCCCAGGATCCTCCTTCTTCCCTTTTTTAAAGACGGGCACTACATTAGCCTTTTTCCAGTCATCCAGGTCCTCCCCCGATCGCCATGAGTTTTCAAAGATAATGGCCAATGGCTCTGTAATCACATCCACCAATTCCTTTAGCACTCTCGGATGCAGCGCATCTGGCCCCATAGACTTGTGCTCGTCCAGCTTTTCTAAATAGTCCCAAACCACTTCTTTTTCCACAGAGCGCTGGTTACCTCCTCCCCATGCTGTGCTGCCCAGTGCAGTAGTCTAGGAGCTGACCTTGTTTGTGAAGACGGAGGCAAAAAAGGCATTGAGTACATTAGCTTTTTCCACATCCTCTGTCACTAGGTTGCCTCCCTCATTCAGTAAGGGGCCCCTTCTTGTTGCTAACATACCTGAAGAAACCCTTCTTGTTACTCTTAACATCTCTAGCTGCAACTCCAGGTGTGATTTGGCCTTCCTGATTTCATTCCTGCATGCCCGAGCAATATTTTTGTAGTCTTCGCTGGTCATTTGTCTAATCTTCCACTTCTTGTAAGCTTCTTTTTTGTGCTTAAGGTCAGCAAGGATTTCACTGTTAAGCCAAGCTGGTCACCTGCCATATTTACTATTCTTTCTACACATCGGGGTGGTTTGTCCCTGTAACCTCAATAAGGATTCTTTAAAATACAGCCAGCTCTCCTGGACTCCTTTCCCCGTCATGTTGTTCTCCCAGGGGATCCTGCCCATCAGTTCCCTGAGGTTGTCAAAGTCTGCTTTTCTGAAGTCCAGGGTCCGTATTCTGCTGCTCTCCTTTCTTCCTTGTGTCAGGATCCTGAACTCGACCATCTCATAGTCACTGCCTCCCAGGTTCCCATCCACTTTTGCTTCCCCTACTAATTCTTCCCAGTTTGTGAGCAGCAGGTCAAGAAGAGCTCTGCTCCTAGTTGGTTTCTCCAGCACTTGCACCAGGAAATTGTCCCCTACACTTTCCAAAAACTTCCTGGATTGTCTGTGCACTGCTGTATTCCTCTCCCTCTGCAGATATCAGGGTGATTGAAGTCTCCCGTGAGAACCAGGGCCTGCGATCTAGTAACTTCTGTTAGCTGCCGGAAGAAAGCCTTGTCCACCTCATCCCAGGACTTCCCGTTCTCCCTGCTTGTTTCCCAGGCTTCTTGCATTTGTGTATAGGCACTTGAGATAACTTGCTGTTTGTCCTGCTTTCTTAGTATGAGGCAGGAGCCCTCCCCGTCACACTCTCCTGCTCGTGCTTCCTCCTGGTATCCCACGTCCCCACTTACCTCAGGGCTTTGGTCTCCTTCCCCCGGTGAACCTAGTTGAAAGCCCTTCTCTCTAGGTTAGCCAGCCTGCTTGCGAAGATGCTCTTCCCTCTCTTCGTTAGGTGGAGCCCATCTAGCCTAGCACTCCTCCTTCTTGAAACACCATCCCATGATCAAAGAATCCAAAGCCTTCTCTCTGATGCCACCTGCGTAACCATTCGTTGACTTTCACGATTCGACAGTTTCTACCCAGGCCTTTTCCTTTCACGGGGAGGATGGACGAGAACACCACTTGCACCTCAAACTCTTTTATCCTTCTTCCCAGAGCCACATAGTCTACAGTGATCCACTCAAGGTCATTTTTGGCAGTATCATTGATGCTCACGTGGAGAAGCAGGAAGGGGTACCGATCCGAGGGCTTGATGAGTCTCGGCAGTCTCTCTGTCACATCGTGAATCCTAGCTCCTGGCAAGCAGCAGACTTCTCGGTTTTCCCGGTCGGGGCGGCAGATAGATGACTCAGTCCCCCTGAGGAGAGAGTCCCTGACCACCACCACCCGCCTCCTTCTCTTGGGAGCAGTGGTTGTGGAACCCCCATCCCTAGGACAGTGCATCTCATGCCTTCCAATCGGCAGAGTCTCCTTCTGTTCCCTTCCCTCAGATGTATCATCTGGTCCACTTTCCACATTAGTACCTGGGGAGAGAACATGAAAACGGTTGCTCACCTGTATCTGTGTTGCTGGTACGTGAACGCTCCCCTTTCTTCCTCTGGACATCACGTGCTGCCAGATTTCTTCACCGTCCTCCTGTCCCCGCTGCGCAGTCTGCTCTGACTCTTCAGAACATTGTGTCTGTAGAAGCATATCCTGACGTATGCCCAGGAAATCTTCAGTTTTTCTTATGCAATGCAGGGTTGATACTTGTTTCTCCAGACCTTGAACCTTCTCTTCCAATATGGAGACCAGCTTGCACTTTGATGATGGGGTGTTGAGTAGTGTCCATTTAGTGGGTCTTGGTGTCATGGTTTCTCTCAAAGGTGGTATCAGTTGTGGAGTTGTTGTCATTAGTTTTATTTTTTGTTTTTATGTTGGATGGCTGTCATCCGAGAAGAGGGCTTTTTTATAGTTGTTTTGGGTTTCCTGCATAATCTCCAGGTATGTTTTTCCTTATTTTTTTATTCCAGTGTGTGGGAGCATGTGGTGATTTATTGTTTGAGGTTGGCCCTTCTGGAATAAGGTGGAGGAGGTGGTTCCTCAGTTTTTCTGAGGTCCTTCTGTAGAGCTGTTCATCTTATTTGGAGTTTTATGCAGTGGTCAGAGGGTTATAGATGGTGAGTCCTCTTGGTATGATGATTTGTTTTTTGCGTCTGTTCAGGAAGTAGATGTTTCTTGGGTCTATGTCACTTAAAGGTATTGTAGTTCTGCACCATTTAAGACTGAGGCCAGATAGGAGTAAATTAACAGAAATATTTAGTTTCTCTTAAATGCCATATGATCTTTTACCAATTTTTTTTTAATTTGCAAAATTTATTTTAACAAATTTTCTCTCTTTTTGTGGCAATATGATACAGATAAAATATTTATTGCAAATTCTTATTTCTCTGAATTATTTCAACAAAATGTAACTTGTAATGCCTCAATCACTGCAAGAAAAAGATTACACAAGAATGCCAGTTTGAAGAGAGACATAAAAAATGGTAGTGCTTTCTGAATTATAGTAGGGTTTGATCCTGCAAACATACTAGGGTAGTGCTTGCTTACTCTCAAGAGTAATCCATTGAGTAGAGTGGGGACATCACTCGTGGGAATAATAACTATCCCCAGTAGTAAGTTGAGCCCCTAGTTGGTCAAAAGTGTCAGTGTCATCAATGGCTTGTATGAATTTTGAACAAAAGTAGCAATTTTCTTTAATTTTTTAAAATTACTCTTTTAGCTTGTAGGTGCAAACAGAGTCCTAAACATTGATGGGAAACTACGTCTGCAATTGTATTATCCACCTCCAAGGACCAGGACACAGTCAAATGTTGTTGAGGTTTTTGATTGGTGGGAAAAGGGTCCTAGGAATCGTTACCCATCAACATTATATGTAACTATAAAAGGCATAAAACTACCAGATCATGTAAGTTAAGTACATTTATATATAAACAGAAATACTTAAGATCCATTCAAGCTATTTATTTTTAACCGAAATCAGATGACAATTTACATTTTTATGTTTTTTTCTGTAACTGTCCTTTATAACTTGCTATACTAAGCCTACTACATCTTAACATGCCCCCTCTTTTTTTTTTAATCTGCTTAGCACTTTACAACTTCTCGTAAAAACGTTCAAATCAGTTTCCCCAACTACTCTGAATTTCCTGCTATTTAGCCAATGTTTTCCATAGAACAGTCATGTATCATCTTGGCCCTCTCTGTCCTCTCATATTGGTGAAAACTGGGCCAAACATCATTAAAGTTAATTGAATTGAACTGGTATACAATTAGTGCAAGTGAGAGGAGAATTCGGCCCCTAACTTTTATTTTTGTTCTAAAAACTATATAAGAAAATGTACTTTTTATCAGATTTAACACCTTTTAAAGGAGGTGAAATCTTAAAATCAGAATAGCTATGATTATTTGCTCCAACACCACCCAGATGGGGACTTAAAAATAAAATTTTGTTAAATACTATATATATTGTTTTATTACTGGCTTCTTTATCTATAATCTTGACAGATTTCTTATCTTTGTTTAATACTGACATGGTTGAAGTGTAGTGGGGTTGGGGCAATGAAATCCACGCTCCCAATCCAAGGCCAGCGTGTAAGGCTGTTGTGTAGCTCTCTCAGATCACTATTTAAGCCTATAGATTGGAATAGCAGCTACAGACCTTCTGCACTAGTTACATGTATTGTTAGATCCACTGGACTTTACCCCTTGCCTGCCTTGCCCCATTCCTATGATGCCATTCTAGTACACTGACCCTTTCCATAGAACATGAGTGGATAGGCACCTCCACATGGCTGGCCAGTCCACCCACAGTCTCTTTGCATGGCCCCATATAGGCTCTAAATTGTGTAGAGTGTCTTGTACTGGCCCTCTGAACCACAGGTGAATTTAATCCTTTGCATACTTATAGTATTTTTACATTTTTGTTCTTCTTAAATGCTCTTAACTTCTGTCTTTCCTGACTTTCTGACTTTAGTGACTGATCCTGCAGATAGTCACTGCTCCATAATCTCTATTCCTGCACATATTCCTCCTGAAATCTATGGGTCTAAGTGCAATAGTAGCTATTCCATGTGCAATAGTAACTGTTTGCTATATGTGGAATAACATATGCATTGGTAACATATGCATTGGTGTGCTAGGCACCATACAAACATAGAGTAGGAGTTGGTCCTTGACCTGAACTATAATGCCAGACAAAGAGTGGAAGGAAAACAGAGGCACAGAGAATAGAAGTGACTTGCTTCTCCCTGATATTAAGGCATGTTCTTGGAGGTATTTAGTGTGCATTTCATTAAGATATTTATGGTTTTCCTTATCAAAAGAGGGAGCCTGAGTTCAGTAGCCAATGTGGCAGTCAGGCTGCACAGAGATCACGTAGGTTGCTCTCATGGGCTATATTAGGGGTTGGCAACCTTTCAGAAGTGGTGTGCAGAATCTTCATTTATTCGCTTTAATTTAAGGTTTCGCGTGCCAGTAATACATTTTAAAGTTTTTAGAAGGTCTCTGTCTGTCTATATATTATATAACTAAACTATTGTCGTATGTAAAGTAAACAAGGTTTTCAAAATGTTTAAGAAGCTTCATTTAAAATTAAACTAAAATGCTGATCTTATGCCACCGGCCCGCTCAGCCCGCTTCCAGCCTGGTGTTCCATTCACCTAGGCCGGCAGCAGGCTGAGCGGGGCAAGCGGCTGGCAGCCAGAACCCTAGACTGGCAGCCAGAACCCTAGACTGGCAGCGGGCTGAGCGGGGCTGGCGGCTGGGACCCCAGACTGTCAGTGGGCTGAGCGGCTCAGCTCGCTGCCACTCAGCCTGCTGCCGGTCTGGGATCCCGCCCCTTCCCACATAGAGTGGGTACCTACCTTCTCCCTGGTTCTAGCCCATTCTCTTCCTCTCTCTCTGCACTGAGCTGAGGGTGGGAGTGCACTGAGCTCAGGGCTGGGGGTGAAGGAGCAGGCTGGGGGTTGGAGTGTAGGGTCTGGCCAGGAGCTAGAATGAGGGAAGTGGCTCAGGGTTGGGGCAGGAGGTTTGGGGGTGGAGTGCTTACCCCACTCCCATTTGGTGCGAAGGGTGCAGGTGGGAATGTGGGGTGGGGGTGGGGTGCAGGAGCTCCTGTTTGGTGCTCAGGGTGGGGATGGGAATGTGGGGGGTGCAAGAGTCAGGACATGGGGGGGCTGGGAGGGTGTGAGTGGGGGTGCAGGAGTCAGAGTTGCGGGTGTGAGGGGGGTGCAGGAGTCAGGGTTGCGGGTGTGAGGAGGGTGCAGGGGTCAGGGCAGGAGGCTAGGGTTATGGGCTGGGGTCATGAGGGTGCTCCCAGCCCCCTGCCCTGAGCGGCTCACAGCAGCGGGCTGGTGATTCCAGCCTGATTCCACCCCCTTCCCCAAGGCCCTGTCCCCACCTCTTCTCCGCCTCCTCCCTGGAGCAGCAAGCTCGCTGCAGCTCTGCTTCTCCCCCTCCCTCTCAAGGGCCATCAGCTGATCGGGGGCAGGGAGGGAGTGGAGGAGGGGCAGGAACCCAGCACGTTGGGGGAAGAGGCGGCAGCAGCCTCCGGCAGGACCAAGCTTCTTCACCCTGCCCCCGTGGGGAGGGGTGAAGGGAGGAGGCGGAGAAGAGCAGGCTGGGGGTCCCGGCCTGTGTTCGGCAGCCTGCTGAGTGGGGCTGGCGTCTGGGACCCAGCAGGCAGCAGTGTGCCATTAAAAATCGGCTCACGTGCCGTCGGTTGCTGACCCCTGCACTATATGATGTTCTGTCTCCTTTGTGAAATTATTAGGTTCTGCTCAAATATTAGGAGAAGTTCATTAAGCACACTTAGCAGAGATTTTTCAATCACTTACAACTTCAATCTCCCTCCACAATTAATTCCACACATGGTGCAATCCACTTGTGCAGCACTTTTTTTTTTTTTTTTTTTTTTAAAACAGTAGGGTTTAATTAATGCAGAGAGCCTATGCTGGCCCTTGGCACCAGGTGTGAATTTCAGTAAAGAGCGGTGTCTGCTAGATTTGGGGTGGGGAGATTAACTTGACTTAAGTGGGAGAACTCATGCTTAAACTGAATTGGGCTCTATTGTGGAAAAGGCTAATAAAACAGAAAAGCATGAATCAGTTGTGTAAGTAAAAGATTTATCAACCATCTGACAGAATTTTACCACCCCAATTTACTTTTCACCAGTGTAGGCTTGTTGGCTACTTTCATTGCACCTCATTTGTATTTGATGATGAATTTCACTTATTTCTTATGGAAGTATTACGTATTACTGGTTAACAGCATGTATCACTGTACTACCAGGTATTTTTTCATATACAAGGATTGCCCCCATTTAATTTTCTTTCAGTGTTTACACAAAATACATTTACATCCTAAAATTTTTAGACTTATTTCAATTTTGTGAAATATGTTACTGTACTTAAAAACGTTTTGTGTTTTCCTGAAATAATTGATTTTGCTATTGATATTTTGTCTGCCTTTAGGTATATCCTTCTTTCCGTTCTATGATGGCTGTTCAGCAGGAACAAGGTAGCACGTCATTCTGTGAGCTCCAGAATGAGGTATCAAAAAAAGCTAGTGTATATAGTCCACATGAGAAAAAGGAGCAATTTAAATGGATGAGACTGCCTGGACAGGTGAAGGTTTTTTTTAAAAGTACCAAAAAAATCCACTATCTGCTAATAAGGTTATTTTATGGTATAAGATTGTGAAACAAGTCTGGTTTTGAGGGTGTGGGTGGGTCTCAAGAACCTGCTGGAGGGCAGGACTCTTTCCATGGAGGTCCTAAGCTCCCATCCTAGCTTTGGGACCCGTGCAGTCAGTTCCTTGACAACATGATTCTTGGGACTCCTCATTTAAAGGATGTTTCACCAGCTTAGTGGGGATGGAGAGGAGTTAGTGCAGCTCCACTCTTGGTGCTTCTGGTCCTGCCCACTCCTCAGTCATGGATCCCCACCACACGTCAGAAAGGGGACCTTCTGTGAGGCTATTATTGTCCATATAATCATTCGGTTTATTCTCCAAATGGGAATGGGGTTTATTTCCCTGCTGGATGCCATGTAAGAAACACAACTAATACACAGAGTGCATTTGTTCAAAAGAAAATCCCAATTTAATCTTAGATGTAAATGGCTTTTGTTTATGTACCTTGATTTTGTGATATTATATAATTTGTCTTAAAAACTGCCAGTGGTTTTATTTCTTTCATATTTAATAACAGCCAGTGATTTAAGTAGTAACAAGGAAATGTTAGAAAAATCAACAAATTGTTTTAAAACAGCAAATTGTCCAAAGATGAAAAGGGTATGGAAATAAGTTTATGTTTGACATGTTTAGGATGAATAAAAATTGTGTAAATTTAGATTAAATTCTTTTTCAAAATGTTTTATGACGAATTTTTGCCTTTTTGCAGAAAGGCAAATAAATGCATGAGCCAAATTAAGTGAATTATAATCTTGAGAATATTGTCTAGACATCCTCAAATATTAAATTATTTATTATTAAACTTGTCCATGTAAACACTGTAGAAGTTGTGTTTTTGAGAGATCCAGGTACTAACAACTTATTTTGCTGATTTTTTTGGCTTGTGGAAAAGTTTGTTAAATACATAATGTCTTTTAAGTTTTGTGTATTTGTTAACATTCACAGCTGTGCAATAACTATTTTTATTTGGAAATGTAGGCTTGTCGTATACCAAACAAGCATCTCTTTTCACTGAGAGCAGGAGATATGGGCTGTTTCTGTATTCGTTTTTCTCAAGATGGAAAAACATTAGCAGCAGCGTGTGCAGGGAGAGATGGTTATCCCATTATTTGTAAGTTATGAATTTATTACTTCTGTTTTAACATAGAGCTATAACATATGCAAAGAGCTCTTTTTTTCCCCTTTAGTTTTTTATTTTGAAGAGTGTGTCGATTGGACTTTAAAAAAAAAAAAAGTGTTACTTTTTGGAGTATAGAGGTTTTATATTAACAGTTATGTTCTTTTAGTAGATTTATTTAGTAATTCAGCATTGTAAATATTCTTAGCTATAAGGCATCTTTAGCAAAGTGTCTGCTGATTGAAGACAGTATGGCTTTTCATATGTGGTAATGTATATGTCCAGTTTAAGGACTTGATATTACAATATTTCAGCATCCAGTAGAAATCTGAGAATCTGAAATGTGCCAGGAATATAAGTTCTGATAATAAGTTTTTAAGTGAAATAACTTGCCCCTTTCTTAGATTTTTTTTTTTTTGACAGGGGAAAGGGAATTTGTGAATGAATTTAGTTTTCATTAAAGTGGCTAACCAATAATACTTACTAGAGCCAGGCATAACGCAGGCAGTCGTCTTCACAAAAATCTCCCAATACAACTCACTAATGACTAGCAATACTATTCATATCCTGGGCTGCTTCTGTGCAAGAAAATGTCACTTGCTGCATTTTGAAACAGAATATAATCGATTTTTTGAGATTCTTGGGAACAATGTTCCATCTCCACACAGAATAAAAGGCAAAACCTATAAATGCAAGTACTTAAAGAGTAGCTATCACGGTTATATTGCTTCTCTACAAAACTTGCTGATCACCAAAAAATTGACCTCACCATTAATATTCTTATGTAGCTGGCCAAGTGGCAATCAAAGTTTTAAAAAAAATAAAATAGAGTATTTACTTAATGTCCTAGGTTCATCCCTGAAAACTTAAACTGTCTAGTCTAATTTTTAAAGGGGTTAATGCACTTGTGACATATCCATGAACCACTAGATGGAAGTAGATGCTTGCAAACTTGTGTTAAATTATTAACAATGCATACCAAGTAGCTATTTGATTTTGAATTATGGAAATTAGGAGCTAGTGGAGTTGAATTCACTTATGCAAGCAATGACTTGGCCCTAGTAATATATCTAGCTTTGTAGTAATTATATTCCAGATGTTGGTTGCATCAACATCTTCCATATTTGAAGATTGAATTTGTATTGGAATATGCAGTTATAAGTCTTATATATAAAATCTTGGCCCTAAATCGTTTTCTTTTGAGTATCGATGCTTTATTATTGGAAAAGCAGTTTCAAATGTTTCCAAATTTAATCTTTTTATTTACATTTTCATTAGTATATGAGATTCCTTCTGGACAATACTTGAGAGAATTTTATGGCCACCTTAATATTGTATATGATCTTTGTTGGTCAAAAGATAATGAGTACCTCCTTACTGCATCCTCTGATGGCACTGTCAGGTCAGTATGAGTGAAATGTTATAGCAACTGTTGTCAAAATGATAAGTAGGCTTAGTGAACCCAGCTGTGTCTTTATCATAAACTGTGCTGGACAACTTTTAACCATGGATTTGAGTGTAATTTGAGTTATTTGTTAATGTTATTGGAAAGCTATGATAGAATGATAGCTTTTTAGGAATAATTTTATTATGTTTGGTTTAAAATATACGGTGTTTTTGGTCCAAGATTTTAAAATGTAGTTGCCTAAGTATAGGCTCTTAAAACCATATTTAGCCGCCTAAATAAGTGGTCTTATTTTTCAAAAGTGCTCAGCACCCAGCAGCTATTACAGAAATCAATAGGACTTTTGGAACATTTAATCCTTCCAAAAATTACCATATTCTAGATGCAAAAGCCAATCTTAATGCTATATTAAGGCTGCAAATTTGAACACACCAGGCAGGAAATTGAAAATTTAGAATTCAGTAGCAACTTTAACTTTACCACGTTGCAATTGTATATAGTAGTTTGAATTCTTGGCTAGGCTGTTAAATGTGTAACTCAAGGCAAATCACTGTATCTGGAATATAAAATCTTAACTCTGAAATTTTTCCCCTCTTGTGTATAAATTTAAAAAGTTACATTAATGCAGTATTTAAGCAGCAAATCTTGAGGTACTTAAAGCTCCCTCATCCCTCCAAAAAAAAAACCAACCCAGAACACTTAAAACACAGCAAGAAAAAATATGGCCATAGTATTCCACAAATGTGTTATGGGTAACTTCATAGGTTTTAATCTTCACTGATGTGTAGATGCACAAAAACCTAGCTATTGCCTTTGTTGGGCAACTACATAGTGCTACAGGCAGCTGCATAATTAAAATCCCCAAAGAATTGTGATTGCCACATTATATGTGTTGAAAGTGTTAATTTAATTGGTTTTACTATGGGGTAGAGGGGAAATAAATATAAAGTTCTTCAAGTGATTGTCCACATCGTTTCCACTCTTGGTATGCTTGGGTATGAGATCAGGTTTTTTTGGCCAGCTGTGTACATTGGGGTCATGCCTTTGCCCTGGACGTCTTTGCACCATTCATCCAAGCCTGAGGGCATAAAAGGCAGAGTGGGCCAGCTGCCCCTTGGTTCTATCTTACCTCTTGTAGCAGCAAGATGGAATCCTTGCAGTGTCCTTCTTCTCTCCACGGTGTTTGTGTAGCTAGTTAGTAGTCTTACTGCCTAGTTACTAGTTAGTTTGTTCATGTAATTAGATAGTTAAAAATATTTTTTTTCTTAAATAAGTTTCAGTTTAGGCTAGCGCCCCGTGCCTGTACAGGGATGCTAGAAACAGGGTGGAAATAAATTTCCGGAGTTCAAAACCTGTCTCTCACGTGAAGCTTAATTCCCGTTAGAACGTTCCACATCAAACTTTTGAGTATAGCTGCAAAAATTCAGTAGATTCAATTAGACCCTTAAGTATTTGCATGTATTTACGTCTAGAACCATTAGCACAAAATTTGGTATTAATTTATATGGTAATATTTACTAGAAAGCGTCACGTTATGAGACAGTTATCCTAACTTTTTGTTCTGTTTTTTGTTTTTAAAAGAATGTGGAAAATTGAGACCCAGACTACAACTTCTGTGAGAGTTTTCCCTCATCCTTCATTTGTTTACACTGCAAAGTACCATCCAGTTGCTGACTATCTTGTGGTGACAGGCTGTTATGACTCTGTGATTAGGGTATGGAATACAAAAGTGAAAGAGATCTATGGTCAGTTAATACAGGAGTTTGATGGTCACAAAAGTTTCATCAATACACTGTGTTTTGATGCAGAAGGTATGTTCAATATGTTATAATTGCATCTCAAACAAAGAGCAGTTCAAGCCTGTTCAGTTTGGTGTATTTCACTGAGATAGTTGTTAAAAAACAGGATGTTTTTATTTTGTTACAATTGTTATTTTATTAAAATGTCTCACTCAGATCTACTACTATCCAGTGTGTTGATGTATTCAATTATTATTTACTGTCTGTAATTTGGGCATGTCTACAATATGCTGGGCACTGTACAAACATTTAGGAAGACATAGCCTGGGCTGAAAAGATAAATAAGCAGGCAAAAGACAGGAAAGAAGGATATAACAGATGTAAAAGGGTCAAGGTGATAACTAGCCAGGTCTTGATGATACAGTTTTTTTAAATTAGATATATAGATTATCCACAATTGACCCTCTTCCTAACTAGTTTTAGTTGGCTAGTTTCTTGTCAGTTTTCAGAGTAACAGCCGTGTTAGGTTGTATTCGCAAAAAGAAAAGGAGTACTTGTGGCACCTTAGAGACTAACCAATTTATTTGAGCATAAGCTTTCGTGAGCTACAGCTCACTCCACAGTATGCATCCGATGAAGTGAGCTGTAGCTCACAAAAGCTTATGCTCAGATAAATTGGTTAGTCTCTAAGGTGCCACAAGTAAGTACTCCTTTTCTTTTTTCTTGTCAGTGTCATTGCAGAAATTGGTATGGAATAAAGAACAGAGACTATTGTGGGAGAAGCAGGCAAATGGTGTGCCAAGGCTGGTATTATGAGCTGAGCAGAGATGTGGAGAGGCAATGTAGAAAAAAGTAGGGCTGTGAAATGATTATAACATTAATTGCTATTAATCGCAGTTTTAATTACAGGGTTAAACAATAACAGAAAACAATGTATTTAAATATTTTTGGATGTTTTCTACATTTTCAAATATATTGATTTCAACTACAACACAGAATACAAAGTATACAGTGCTCAATTTAAATTATTATTTTTATTACAAATATTTGCACTGTAAAATGATAAACAAAAGAAATAGTATTTTTCAGTTCACTTCATACAATACCTTAAAGCAATCTCTTTATCATGAAAGTACAACTTAGAAATGTAGATTTTTTTTGTGGCGTAACTGCACTCAAAAACAAAACAAAGTAAAACTTTAGAGCCTACAAGTCCACTACGTCCTACTTCTTGTTCAGCCAAACACTAAGACAAACAAATTTGTTTACATTTACGGGAGATAGTGCTGCCCTATTCTTATTTACAGTGTCGCCAGAAAGCGAGAATAGGCATTTTCATGGCATTTTTGCAGCCGGCATTGCAAGGTATTTACATGCCAGATATGCTAAGCATTTGTATGCCCCTTCATGCTTTGACCACCATTCCAGAGGACATGCTTCCATGCAGCATTATCTTACATAAATGTAAACATGCTTGTTTGTCTTAGAGATTGGCTGAACAAGAAGTAGGACTGAATGGATTTGTAGGCCCTAACACAGGGGTGGGCAAACGTTTTGGCCAGAGGGCCACATCGGGGTTGCGAAATGGTATGGAGGGCCGGGTAGAGAAGGCTGTGCCTCTGCAAACAGCCTGGCCCTGTCCCCTATCCGCCCCCTCCCACTTTCCACCCCCTATCAAACCCCTCCACTCACTGTCCACTGACTGCCCCGCCCCCTGACAGGCCCCCCGCCCCATCCAACCCCCTGCCACACTCCTTGTCCCCTGACCACCCCCTCCCGGGACCCCCGTCTGTAACTGTCCCCCCAGGACCCCACCCCTATCCGACCCCACCCCTATCCAACCCCCCTGGTTCCTGTCCCCCCGTGACCGACCCGAGCCCCCGTGACCCTACCCCCTATCCCCTCCCCCCCGTTCCCTGTCTCCTGACTGCCCTCCGCCCCATCCAACCACCCCCTGACTATCCCCCAGGACCTCCTGCCCCTTATCCAACCCCCCCACTTACCATGCCATTCAGAGCAGCAGGATAGGCTTATTGGAAAGCCTGGAAGATGGGCGGGTGCAAGCGGTGCTGCCCATGTGGCTGCGGGGAAGGAGGGACAGAGGAGGAGGGGCCGGGGGTTAGCCTTCCCGACTGGGAGCTCAGGGGCTGGGCAGGACAGTCCTGCGGGCCGTAGTTTGCCCACCTCTACTCTAAAATCTCACTTTGTTTTATTTTTGAGTGCAGTTATGTAACAAAAAAACTACACTGTAATTTGCACTTTCATGATAAAGAGATTGCACTACAGTACTTGTATGAGGTGAATTTAAAAAGATAAAATAGTATTTTTCCAGTGCAAGTATTTGCAATAAAAATAATATAAAGTGAGCACTGTACACTTTGTATTCTGTGTTGTAATTGAAATCAATGTATTTGAAAATGTAGAAAAAAATAAAAAAAATTTATAATAAATTTGAATTGGTATTCTATTATTGTTTAACAGTGTGATTAAAACTGCAATTAATCACGATTAATTTTAACTATGAGAGAAGCTCTCTCACCAACATAGTGCTGTCTAGACCAGCACTTTGGTCAGTATAACTTATTTCACTCAGGGGTGTGGGTTATTCAAACCCCTGAGTAACATAAGTTATACCAAAGTAACCCGTAGTGTAGACAAGGTCTTAAGTTACAGCCTGGGGAACTGGGAGGATGGTGAATTTTTCAACAATGTCAGTGAATGGAGAGGGTTTGGAAGGAGAGATAAGGAGTTCAGTTTTGGCAGTATTAAGACTGTGTTGGTGGCAAGACATCCAGGAAGAGGTGTTGGAGAAACATTCTAAAGTGCATAACTGGATGGAGATGTGCGTTGTTGCTGTGTGAGTAGAGGAGCTCCCCAAAGATGGAACATTTGTATTTTGGAATCTGGGTTTTTCAGATAGGTATTTCATGAAAATGTAGATGCGTTATTTCTGTGATAGGCATGGCAGCTGACCACAGAAAATAAAGAACTTTCTACTTCGTTGTTTACAATGATGTGTATACTGTTGGTTTAAGAGCAGCTATTGAAAGGCAGCAATTGGAGGGAAATTTGCATTTGCTCTTGCCCAACCTGTTCTCAGTGGGGGTCTTCACTGGATAGTTATGCACTAGGGGTCTAATCTAAGGCCCACTGAAGTCAGTGGAAAGACTTCCATTGATTTCAGTGACCTTTGGATCACACCCTAGAAGACAATACTAAAAAGCAAAGATATTGAATAAAACCAACTTAGCATCTAAGTGAAAAACCGTCAAAGTATTTAATTGTAAGTATTACAGTATTTACATTTTTATTCTGTTTGGAATTTATGATATTGACTTCTGTGATGTATTATAAGCAAAATTTAGGCTTTTTGACTACCCTGCATTAATTGGAGAAAATGGAAGCAAAATATTGCTGTTCAAATATTGGCTTTAATAATTCAGTTTGTAATATATCCATGAATGTGGAAATTACTATAAAACTGTTAATAGCACTGATAAGACAGAGTTTCCAATGTATATTTAATTTTGGAGATATCTCTAGCTCACATATCCCCTGTTGTTCATTTAGTATGGTTTCAAAATCTTGCTGTTAATACTACATAAGTGTAATTATTATTTTACAGGACTTCACATGTTCTCAGGAGACAGCTCAGGGCTGATTATAGTTTGGAATACCTTTGTCAAAGGAAGTTCTCAACATCCAGTCCAACATTGGGGTATAAATAAGGTATACAAATATTTTAATTAGCACGATAACTTTTATGTAAAGCAGTTTCAAATCTAGCCATCTAATTTGCATTTAATTACTTTTTCATGTCACTTTTGTGTGGTTGGAAAGTAAATTTCCCCTAAATGTCTTGTTAACACTTTGCAAACGCCTGATAAAACATGCTGTGATTCACTGGGAATTTCTAGATTTTTTTTTGTCAGTTTTTAGATATGATACTGTAAGTAGAGAATGTAAATGCTTATTCTTAGCACCAGCTTCTACAACAGATGTTTGAGAATTGGTAGCATTGTAATTGCACACAGTAACGTGTTGTTTGTACTTCCATAGATAGAATTAAAATAACAGACTGTGTATCTTGTCAAAGTAGCTTTATTCACACTTCTATGGTTAACGTCTTGTCAGCCTTTCTGTTATCAACTCTGGTTTTCAGAATTTCATCATTATAATAGGATCTGTCACTTAAATGGTTGTGGAAACTTGATATGGGCTAAAACTTGTTGATTTGGGATGTAGTATCTTGTCTAGGAACCAGTGTTTGTTTTTTAAAATGGCCTTGGTTTTTTTTAAAACTGCGTTTAATCTCTCCTTGCACTGCCCCCCACCAATTTCATAAGTTAATACCATAGTGACATCTTTGCCTTTGTTTCCTATCAAATTAGTCTTGCATTACAATAAACTTCATTTTTTCATGGTAGGAAATAAAAGAAAATGATATTAAAGGGACTCCAATAAATCATCTAGAGGTACATCCGAATGGAAGACGTTTATTAATCCATGCCAAAGACAGTGTTCTGAGAATTATGGATCTCAGAATGTAAGTAGGTTTTTGTAGTCAATGCATAGATTTCTGTGTCTCAAGTTGACTCATTGTGATAGTAAAATGTTTTAAAATTATTAAATAGATACTTAAAAGAGGAAGGATGGTCCAATAGTTACAGTGCTAGACTGGGACTTTGGAGACCTCAATACAAATCCTTGCTCTGCCACAGGCTTCCTTTGTGACATTGGACATGTCCTGTAAGTTAGAATTTCCAAAAGTGCCTAAGTCCCATTTACAAAAATGATTTAGCCACTTACCCTATGTCATTGACTTTTCAATGTCACTCAGGAAGTCCAACCTCGTACAGAAAGTCTGCAGCAGATCAGGGATTTTAATCCAGATCTCCCAAATCCCTTTAAAAAAATTATTTAGTTACTTAGCTTGGTTCATTGACTTTCAGTGGGACTTAGGAGCCTGAGTCACTTAGGCACCTTTGGAAATTTTACTCTTTGGGTATGTCTACATTTTAAAACTCTACAGCAGTGCCACTGTAACGCTTCAGCGTAGACACTACCTGCACCTACACCTACATTCTCCCATTGGCGTGGCAATCCATCTCCCCAAGAGGTGATAGTGAGGTTGACAGAAGAATTCTTCTATCAACCTAACACTGTCTACACTGTGATTTGTCATACCCTGAATGATGTAGCTATACCAACGTAAGTGCCTTAGGGCTAGTCTACACTAGAATTGCAACAGCGGCGCAGCTGTACCAATGTAGCTGTGCTGCTGTAGCGCTACTAGTGCAGATGATCTATGCCGAAGGGAGAGAGCTTCTCACGCTGACATAATGCTGTCCACACCAGCACTTAAGTCAGTGTAACATACGTCACTTGGGGCGGGGAGGAGGGGGCTTTTTCACACCCCTGAGCGATTTAAGTTATACAGAAGTAAGCGCTAGTGGGTACAAGCCCTTAGTCTCTCTGTTCCTCAGTTCCCCTTCAGTAAAATGGGGCTAATAGCACTTCACTCCCTCACAAGGTAAATACATTCAAGATTGTGAGGTGCTCGGATACTATGGTCACAGGGGCCACACAAGTACATGAGATGGATGGGTGGAGAGACATTCAAATATATTCTGTGATTATTATTTTCCCCTTTATTATTAATATATTTAAACTATTAGTATAAAAATAAAGAACTTAAACTACGAAAAGCAAAACCGCCCTAAGTGAATATACCGCTAAGGCTAAAACTTAAATCCAGAAAAACAAGGGAATGTAGTGTTAAAGCATAAAATCTGTGCTGATGTTTTGTTCTTAATTTCCCTCTTCTCCCTCCCCCTCCCAAACACAGACACTCAAAGTTTCCCCAGTGTTTTAAGAAAAGATGCTTGGGGGAAAATACCTTCCAAACACTGACAGCACAAGGAAGTATCTGAGGTCTAGGGACATTTTTTCAGAATATACATTTATTTATAATGTAGTTCTCTCCCCATATCACTCTGTTTAAATTTCTTTGACCCTGTCATGTTTTGGGCTATCAAAAGACTTAGCTCTTTTACAGCACTTTTCCTCTTGCCAGAAGGGAGAGGATCCTTGGAATGGTCTTGATGGAGAGGCCAAAGCTCAGAACCTCGGTGCAGTGTGGTTGCTTTTCATTGAACAGTCCACAGAATCTGTGTGTGGAGTCATTGTAATGGGCCCTTTGAGGGTCATATGAATGTAGGGGGATCCTACAGAGGTGTAGAGCCAGTATTATAGTTCCTATACTACAACCCTTCCTGCTACTGGCATGGCAGTGTGTTTGGGGGGGAAGAGGAAAGTGGGCATTGCTAAGGTTTCCCCACATACTCCTGGAGCCACTGGCAGCCAAAGAACCTTACATTGGAAAACCACCCAGCCAAGACTTAGAAACAGCGGGTATGTACCATGTGCTGTAGTGGACCCCCCTGGAACTATTATTGTGAGCAGAATCTCCACTCTGACTAAAAAGTTTCTAGTTATTGTGACTGTGAAGCAAACTTCAGAAATGTGAGCTGAGTGTCACCAATATGAAGTTGTCTGTGTGAGTCTGCAGAGAGCATGAAATAGTAGCTCTGAGAGGTTTGAACTGCTCTGTTAATCTCCATGAGGTGTTAATTTGGATTCCCAGCAATTATACTTTTAAATGTCAACACTGTTAACCATTTGAATCCTCACGTAAGAAAGGAGAGAGAGAGGGGATCACAGATCTGGACAATTTGCTGTGAGTGACACCTAAAGCTAAAACAAAGCTCTTAATCTTACCCCCAAGTCCCCCCCACCACTACTTTGATCACTAGACATCCCCACCATTCTGCATGTCATTCAGGTCTGAAATGTGGGCATCCTCTTTGACTTGGACCTCTCTCTCTAGGTCCTCACGTCTATATGTCTCAATCTTGCCAACTTTTTCTGCTTAACATCTCTAAGATACAGCCTGTGTCATCAGTCTATGCAGTTAAGACTCTCATCATCTCATGTCTCAAGTACTGCTGCAACATCCTTCTCTCTGGCCTTCATGAGTGCATTCTTGCCCTGCTCATGTCCATTCAGAATGGTGCAGCAAAGATAATTTTCCTAGCCTGTTGCTTTGACCAAGTCACCCTTCTCTTTCCTAGCCTCGTCACAGGCTAGGAAAATTACTCCCCTTCTCGAGTGTATCAAACATAAACTATTTGTCTTCACTTGCAAGACCTATCCAGGCCTACCTGTCAACTTTCATTCACTACGAAGATGTCTGCTTCTGACTCCAGTTGACCATGATGCCAGTCTCCATCGCTCACTTGTTAAGTTCTAAATCAAGCATCTTTGTGCTTTCTCTCTGTGCCCCTCATGTGTGAGAAGCTCCCCATAAACATCTTCAAAGCTATTTCATTATCCTCCTTAAAATTCTCCGTTTCCATAATGCCTACAAAAAAGCTATTCCACAATGATCCCATCTCTGCAACAGTGACTGATCTGGTTACCAACACACATTGTAGAATGCATAGTGGTACTCAAAGCACATTGTCCTTGTAAATGTACAGCAAACAGCACATAGCTCATAGCTTCAGCAAAACGAGTAGTCCTTGTTTATAAATGTCCTGCTAGGAATTGTGTGGTGCTTGCTGCACTCAAAGCTCCAGGCCCAGAGAACAGTCCAGCACAGGATGCTACTGTGGCTGACTGTTAAAATGCTCTTTCAAAGATTCCCTCAACTGCATAGCCCCACACTAGCTCTTGTAATGGCCCAGGTGTCTGGCTGTTCACAGTCAGCAAACAGCCGCTCTACCTTTGTCCACCGTGGTGATTGCTTTTCAACCTTTTCACCATCACAGATATTATGCAGGACACCACAGAGAGCTGTAGCCATTGGGATATTTTTCTCACTGAGATCCAATCATATGAGTAAATACCACATCATCTTTTCACATTCAGCTGTCATTCTGCACCAGGTGAGCTGGGTGTTGAGTCTTTCCTTGGTGCTGTCAAGGTGGCCAGTGTGTGGCTTCATGAGCAAGGTGTTTGGTGGGTCCCCCTGTGTCACTAATGGCATTTCAGCATTGCCAGTGGTAATCTGCTGGTTGGGAAAGAAAGTCCCTGCTTGCAGCTTTCTGAATAGTCCTGTGTTTTTGAAGGTGTAAGCGTCATGTACCTTCCCTGACCAGCCCATGTTGATATTGGTGAAGCATCCCTGGTGATCTTTCTGTTGATATGCTCTGTAGCAAAATAGGAGTGTGTATGCCATCTGTCTTCCTACCACAGCTTGGAAACCCCATTGCTACAGATCCATCCGCTACATCTTGCACAGTCCTCCACTGCAGGAGACCATTAATGGCCCTGCATACTTGCATGATGACTCCCACTGTGGATTGTCCAACTCCAAAATGATTTCCCTCTGACTAGCCGCAATTTGGTGTTGCAGTCTTCTAAAATGAGATCACCACTTGCTTTTCAACTGTCAGCGCAGCTCTCATTCTGGTTTCCATGCACTGGAGGGCTGGGGCAAGATTGGCACACAGATCCAGGAATGTGGCCTTTTGCATTCTGAAGCTCTGCAGCCACTACTCGTCGTCCCAAACCTGCCTATGTTGCAGTCTCACCCATCAGTGCTCGTTTCTTGGGGCCGGAAACGGTGCTCCACTGTCAGCTGCTGCTCCATGAATGCCATCAACAACCTTGACTTGGTTCTCACTGTGTCCCATAGCAATCTGTCCTAGAAGAAACTGTCATGTCCCCCGTTGTTGTGGTACTTTCTGCGGGTCTGCAAATACCAGAGGATCACATGTTCTGTATTTGCAACATTCATGGGAATAGTGTAGAGCTCTGTGCTTTAGTCAGAGGTGGCAGACACTGAAAAGTGCCACCTGGATTTGTGGGACTTTTTAAAAAAAGTTGTGATAATTTATATGGATGGCATTATGGAATGGAGAAAGTTACATGCTGGGAACTTGACCTCTAGCTCCCAAAGATCCCTGAGTGAGTAATTTCTACCCCATAACACATTGCAAAAATGTCCCAAAAGGCATTGGACCAGACAGCACTGTGTAGCACACTGGGATACCTACCTGCAGGAGACCATACGTTGCATCAACACAGGCACTCCTGCTGAGTATGTGCAGTGCCGACGCAAGTAGCCAAGTATGCATGTGCCAAAGCGATATACAAACTTTGGTGACTGTGTGCCAATATAACTTGAATCGAGCAAAGTTTGTTTTGTAGGCATGGCCTTCTATTATAATCTCCTTGGGACAGGGACCGGCTTTTGGTTCTTTGTTCTTACAGCTCCTAGCACAATTGGGTCCTGGTCCATGACTAGGATTCCTAGGTGCTATGGTGATACAATTTTTTTTAAAAAAAAAATCTAATTTTGGTGCCATACATGGGTGATGTTTCGGAGTACCACCTCTTTCCCACCCCTCCCCCAGTCAAGAAGGAGCCAAGTCCAAGGAATCCAGCAAATCCCCTGGGCATATTTAAGCCTCACTGAGGCGAGGAGGAGCTGAGCTCAGAGAGCTGCACAATTATATTTTGAATATCTACACATACTACTGTAAGGGGCACCTCATTTTGGCAATTTACATGGGTGGAGTGTATTTTGTTGGCAGAGGTGGGAAAAGTACCACCACTTTTTTTTTTCCAGTCCAACCCCCTTGGCCCAGCAAACAATCAGCCCAGAATTAAAGAAATGCAAAGACAACTTTTGTACCCACTGTCCAGATCTGGTATTCCTTTGCCATTTCCAAAGGTATGGGCTTAAGTAGGTAAGTGCACTGATGCCTACTTTAGATACAAGATATTGAGCTAGTATTGTTTATTCAGCAGAAAATTCATATGTGAGGTATGGGAGATTTTGTCTGTTATGAAAGCAATTGCCACACTCAGACTATTCTTTATTTTTAGCTTGGCTACAAAGAAATACATAGGTGCCACAAACTATAGAGAGAAGATTCACAGTACCTTAACACCATGTGGGACATTTCTTTTTTCTGGAAGTGAAGATGGTATAGCATATGTTTGGAATCCAGAAACAGGTAACCAATCAATTATTTTACAATATTAGGCCAGGTTGTTAAGCTCTCTGGAAGAGCCTTCTTTTTAAAAAAACAAAAACAAAACTTTTTCTTTTTCATTTAATAACATTGGTGCAAAATAAAAATTTAGGCTGATGTCCTTAAGTCTGTAAATGTAAGGTCCACCTTTTATATCAGTGTTATTAGTTATATGCTCTGAGTTAACAATTATATTCATATGGGAATAAATCTCAATCACAGGTAGTATTTCAGATTTCTAGTAGTAATTAAACATTTCTAATTTGGTCTTTTGTTCAGTTATCCTTTCCATATATGATACCAAAGTATTTGTGTATGCAGATTAAGACCCTGTTCCAAAGCCAACTGAAGTCAATGAGTGTCTTTCTGTTAACATCAGTGGCTTTGGATCAGGCTGTTAAGAGCTGTTTATTTTACTTGCACAGTTGACTGACTGAAGACCTCTAATAAGTGAATGATCAGTATACATAGCCACCTGGATGTAGGAGTACTAGGCTTCCTCATAAATTGCCCTCAGAATTGGATAATTCCCATATAACCACTAAAATACAAAAGGACCCTGCTGGACAAAGCGCAAGCAAAGCACAACTAAGAGCTAGAGAATTTGTTGTCTAAATTAACCTTATTGTACTGTGTATAGCAGAGAGGAAATTAAATGCGGTGGTTCATAACAAAAATTTGGTTTTGTTGCCTTTCTGCTTTGTTCTTTTATATCAGATAACAACCTAGATATTTAAAACATTAAACATTTAAAAACTGGTATTTAGGCAGGCAGATCTGTTCTAAAGATTTTTTTTTTTTGAAGGCATCTTCATCAACCAGGGTTCAAAACTACCTGCACGTCATTGCACGACTTTCCCAGTGTCTATCAAAAATAGGTGGAATGTAGGAAGAGAGAATTTGTAGATAAAAGCACTGAGCCTAAAAAGACTTATGCATGTGTTTAACTTTATAGACTGGACAGGGTCAGGCCAGATGGCTACGAAAGAGTGGTTGAAGACACATTAGACACATTAGTTCCAGGTTAAGGAGGTCCCTTTTCCCTGGGTAAAATAACAGGGACTATTCCAGAACACTCAGAAACTTTCTAGAAAAAATTAAGGCAGGCAGGCTAATTAGGACACCTGTAGCCAATTGGGAAGCTGCTAGAATTAATTAAGGCTAATCAGGACACCTGGTTTAAAAAGGCTCTGACTCCAGTTAGTGAGGGGCGCGCAAGGAGCTGAGAGTGAGAGGGTGTGGTGCTGGAGGACTGAGGAGTACAAACGCTATCTGGCATCAGGATGAAGGTCTTGTGGTGAGGATACAGAAGGTGTGGGAGGAGGCCATGGGAAGTAGCCCAGGGAGTTGTAGCTGTCACACAGGTGTTACACAAAACACTATAGACAGCTGTGATCCACAGGGCCCTGGGCTGGAACCCGGAGTAGAGGGCGGGCCTGAGTTCCCCCCATCGCCCCAACTCCCTATTGGGTACAGGAGGAGTTGACTTGGACTGTAGGTCCCACCAGAGGGGAAGGTCCCTGGCCTGTCCCTCGACCCACTAGGTGGACCAGCAGAGACCGTGGGGATTGTTCTCCTTCCTTTCCCCCATGCTGGCCAGTGATGAGGTTATCTGAGTGAACGGCAGATTTGAGCCCCTGAGGGCTACTGTAAATCTCTGAGGCGAGCAAAATCCTCCAATAAGCACAGGACCCACCAAGGTAGAGGAGGAACTTTGTCACAAGACATAAGATGTTCCATTGAGTTCAGGATCAGGGCCAAAACTTTTATGAAATAGTGGTGTGCAAAACTTCCGTTTCCATTGGTCAGTATGACTGAAGCCCATGACTAAGATAGCAAGCATTTTCCCAGAAAGATACAAACACATATTATGGTTATGTGCCATTTAATATTTGTTAAGTGGATAGTGCTTTCCAAGTTACAAACTAGTTTAAAATACAAAGGTTGAAGTCCTCTCTAAGGTTTTTGTAACATAAATATAATATAGAGAGATGAGTGGATATTATAAAAAGTTGCAACGTTATCACGTCAAATTTTTATGACAAATTAAGAACTCTATTTTTCCTTTTATAGGTGATCAAGTAGCCATGTATTCTGACCTCTCCTTCACATTTCCAGTTCGAGATGTTGCCTTTCATCCACATGAACACATGGTGTCATTTTGTGCCTTTGGTCAAAACCAGCCAATACTTGTATACATTTATGATTATAAAGGTACTGTAGAGCATTTCTTGATGCATAAGAATCTTGGTAGCTGTTTGTTTCACTTTTTAGAAGCGACTTGCAAAGGTTCTTTTTTAAAAACAAACAAACAAAACAGAACATCAAAACCTGCCGTGCAAGAATTGTGCTGAAATCTCTAAACCAGTTTAAGATCAGCACAGAAATAGCTTCCAATTTACCTTTCTGTCATGATTTTGCATGACTGAATTCCAGACTTGTCCTCACTTCTCTCTCCAGATCATACCCTCAGCAATCTATGTTGTGCTAGTGATATCATGTCAATCATTAGAACCATATTTCAGTCTTGGGCTGGATTATGGAGTCAGGCAAATTTACATTTTTCTCAAAGTACACATAGTTTAATGAAAACCTTAATGTTTTATGCTTGATGGGATATAAAATAATTTTTAAAAGCTGTATACAAATGGTTTAATTGTTGAGGAAAATCTAGGCTCTCTTGGTCCTCTGTAGGCAAACTCACATCTGCAGTGGAATTCCATAGCAACTGAGTTATCATCAGGGATCCTAGAAATCTATTTGTTTTGGAAAAACATGTGGGTTTTTATTGGAGAATTTTGGGATTTTTTATCACAGAAAATGAGATCCCCGGCTATCTCTAACATAGAGTTAATTGTAGACTTAATTAGTCTTTTAAACTGGTAGGTTTCTTGATTTTTAAATTTTGTTGGTTATTATTCAGTAGCATCACTCTTTTCTTTGTTGCGGATGTTGTTTCAGTTGTCATGTTTCATCTTAATGGCAGATATGACAAAGGTGTGTATATATAATATATTAAGAAGATATATATATATATATTTATTTACTTTTTTTCCCATTTACATCTGCTGTAAAGTAATTGCATTTTGTGCTGATAAAGATGAATAGTTAATGCAAAATATTACATTTTCCATTTAGTTGCTGTCTTGATAATATAGAGTGAATAATTAAAACAAAAAAAGCAACACTCCTACTAACTTTATATTAAGGTTCAAATCCTCCGTCTACTGTACAGACATGATTTTATTGAACTAATTAAAGTGAAAGAATTAATGGTCAATATTAAATGCTAACTTTTAGTCTACTAATAAATCTATTCTGTTTAGCTGTTTAACTAGAGAACCACAGATAATTGTCTCTTTTATTAAAAACTGATTGTAGGCCTGACTCAGGAAAATACTTAAGCATATTCTCAAATCTGTCCCTGTTCAGGAGAGCATTTAAGCATGTGTGTTAGTATTTTCTTCAACAGGGATGCTTTCCTAAATTGGGGCCCATCACAGTTCTGGAAAGCACTCTGCAAAGAAACAAACTATTATTTCCTGCAAGTAATACATATTTATCATGTCAAATTAAAGCTGAGAACTAATTTGCAGTATGGCTACATAGATATTTGTTAATATGCATATAAATTATATTAATAAAAGTGAAGAAAATTAGCTATTTGAAATCACTAAACAAAATTACATTCTTGAATTAGACAGATTTCATAGCTGTTTAACTATGTACCTCCTGGAAATTCATTTTCTATTTAATGGAAAACGTGGTTGAATCTTGAACAATCAAACAGGATCACACTGAGGTTATATTGATAGTTAAAGTCATCTGTTGTTTTAACAAAGTTACTGATCTTTTGTCATCAGTAAGCCATTTCATAGGTTGTGGTCTTTCGGGCATAATCTGTATGACATACCAAGGTACAATCCAGACTGAGTAGCCATGTCACCTCTGCTCTCGAACCTTGGGTGCCCTTTAAAATGCTTTGCTACTATAGCCTACAGTCTGCTCACAAAAAGCTTCCAGCATGCAAGTCACTCCCAGCTGTGTATGTGCTGCAGCCAGCCACACCTTTGCTCTTACCAGCCTTGATAATACTGCAGGGTGACCCAGCACATCCACAGTCTTCGAATTCCCCCTAGATATGTGTGTGTTCTGTACTTCCCAGCCCTCTCCTGGACAATACAGGTTTATATAAGATCTGTTATTGCTTTACTAGAAATAATATGCATGCACCTTGTTACCCCCAAATGGAGTCTCAAAGATACTTCAGTGTAAACACACTGGATTAGATAAACAATGAAACAAGTTTATAAACTACAAAGAGAGATTTTAAGTGAATACAAGTAATGAGGGGCATAAAAGTCAGAAATGGTTACAGGGAAAATAAAGATGAAATGCAACTGGTGCCTAACTTAACAAGCTATGTTAAATTCAAAGCAGAGTTTTCTCATCACATGCACTAAGCAGTCTTACTGACCAAACTTCTTAGGTTAGGACCCCTTTTCAAGTTCAATGGCTGCTTCCTTTGTCCTTTCTGGTGCAGTGAATTGAAGGACAGAGGGAGAGGGAGTGGAGAAATGTTTGTCCTTCCTTTTTATAGTGTTAGCCCCTCTCCTGAAAAACATTTCTAAGTGAAAAGAAAAGGAGTACTTGTGGCACCTTAGAGACTAACCAATTTATTTGAGCATGAGCTTTCGTGAGCTACAGCTCACTTCATCGGATGCATACCGTGGAAACTGCAGCAGACTTTATATATACACAGAGAATATGAAACAATACCTCCTCCCACCCCACTGTCCTGCTGGTAATAGCTTATCTAAAGTGATCATCAGGTGGGCCATTTCCAGCACAAATCCAGGTTTTCTCACCCTCCACCCCCCCCACACAAATTCACTCTCCTGCTGGTGCTAGCCCATCCAAAGTGACAACTCTTTACATAATCAAGTTGGGCTATTTCCTGCACAAATCCAGGTTTTCTCACATCCCCCCACCCCCATACACACACAAACTCACTCTCCTGCTGGTAATAGCTCATCCAAACTGACCACTCTCCAAGTTTAAATCCAAATTAAACCAGAACATCGGGGGGGGGGAGGGGGTAGGAAAAAACAAGAGGAAACACGCTACCTTGCATAATGACTTAGCCACTCCCAGTCTCTATTTAAGCCTAAATTAACAGTATCCAATTTGCAAATGAATTCCAATTCAGCAGTTTCTCGCTGGAGTCTGGATTTGAAGTTTTTTTGTTTTAAGATAGCGACCTTCATGTCTGGGATTGCGTGACCAGAGAGATTGAAGTGTTCTCCGACTGGTTTATGAATGTTATAATTCTTGACATCTGATTTGTGTCCATTTATTCTTTTACGTAGAGACTGTCCAGTTTGACCAATGTACATGGCAGAGGGGCATTGCTGGCACATGATGGCATATATCACATTGGTGGATGTGCAGGTGAACGAGCCTCTGATAGTGTGGCTGATGTTATTAGGCCCTGTGATGGTGTCCCCTGAATAGATATGTGGGCACAATTGGCAACGGGCTTTGTTGCAAGGATAAGTTCCTGGGTTAGTGGTTCTGTTGTGTGGTATGTGGTTGTTGGTGAGTATTTGCTTCAGGTTGCGGGGCTGTCTGTAGGCAAGGACTGGCCTGTCTCCCAAGACTTGTGAGAGTGTTGGGTCATCCTTTAGGATAGGTTGTAGATCCTTAATAATGCGTTGGAGGGGTTTTAGTTGGGGGCTGAAGGTGACCGCTAGTGGCGTTCTGTTATTTTCTTTGTTAGGCCTGTCCTGTAGTAGGTAACTTCTGGGAACTCTTCTGGCTCTATCAATCTGTTTCTTTACTTCTGCAGGTGGGTATTGTAGTTGTAAGAAAGCTTGACAGAGATCTTGTAGGTGTTTGTCTCTGTCTGAGGGGTTGGAGCAAATGCGGTTGTATCGCAGAGCTTGGCTGTAGACGATGGATCGTGTGGTGTGGTCAGGGTGAAAGCTGGAGGCATGCAGGTAGGAATAGCGGTCAGTAGGTTTCCGGTATAGGGTGGTGTTTATGTGACCATCGTTTATTAGCACTGTAGTGTCCAGGAAGTGGATCTCTTGTGTGGACTGGACCAGGCTGAGGTTGGTGGTGGGATGGAAATTGTTGAAATCATGGTGGAATTCCTCAAGGGCTTCTTTTCCATGGGTCCAGATGATGAAGATGTCATCAATATAGCGCAAGTAGAGTAGGGGCTTTAGGGGATGAGAGCTGAGGAAGCGTTGTTCTAAATCAGCCATAAAAATGTTGGCATACTGTAGGGCCATGCGGGTACCCATAGCAGTGCCGCTGATCTGAAGGTATACATTGTCCCCAAATGTGAAATAGTTATGGGTAAGGACAAAGTCACAAAGTTCAGCCACCAGGTTAGCCGTGACATTATCGGGGATAGTGTTCTTGACGGCTTGTAGTCCATCTTTGTGTGGAATGTTGGTGTAGAGGGCTTCTACATCCATAGTAGCCAGGATGGTGTTATCAGGAAGATCACCGATGGATTGGAGTTTCCTCAGGAAGTCAGTGGTGTCTCGAAGGTAGCTGGGAGTGCTGGTAGCGTAGGGCCTGAGGAGGGAGTCTACATAGCCAGACAATCCTGCTGTCAGGGTGCCAATGCCTGAGATGATGGGGCGCCCAGGATTTCCAGGTTTATGGATCTTGGGTAGTAGATAGAATATCCCAGGTCGGGGTTCCAGGGGTGTGTCTGTGCGGATTTGATCTTGTGCTTTTTCAGGAAGTTTCTTGAGCAAATGCTGTAGTTGCTTTTGGTAACTCTCAGTGGGATCATAGGGTAATGGCTTGTAGAAATTCGTGTTGGAGAGCTGCCGAGCAGCCTCTTGTTCATATTCCGACCTATTCATGATGACAACAGCACCTCCTTTGTCAGCCTTTTTGATTATGATGTCAGAGTTGTTTCTGAGGCTGTGGATGGCATTGCGTTCCGCATGGCTGAGGTTATGGGGCAAGTGATGCTGCTTTTCCACAATTTCAGCCCGTGCACGTCGGCGGAAGCACTCTATGTAGAAGTCCAGTGTGCTGTTTCGACCTTCAGGAGGAGTCCATCTAGAATCCCTCTTTCTGTAGTGTTGGTAGGGAGACCTCTGTGGATTAGTATGTTGTTCAGAGGTATTTTGGAAATATTCCTTGAGTCGGAGACGTCGAAAATAGGATTCTAGGTCACCACAGAACTG